AGTTAGTAATGTGTAATGGTGGCATATAGAAGCATAGGGAGAGAGAGGAGAGGGAAGAGGAGGAGAGGAGAGGAGAGTAGGAGGGGAGGGGAAAGAAACTCAGAGCATCATGGGGCCCCCCAGCAGCCTAGGCCTATAGCAGCATAACTAAGGGAGGGCTCAGGGTCACCTGATCCAGCCCTAACTATAAGCTTTATCAAAAAGGAACGTCTCAAGTCTAGTCTTAAAGGTAGAGAGGGTGTCCGCCTCCCGAACTGAGACTGGGAGTTGGTTCCATAGGAGAGGAGCTTGATAGCTAAAGGCTCTGCCTCCCATTCTGCTTCTGTGGACTCTAGGAACCACAAGTAAACCTGCACTCTGAGAGCGAAGTGCTCTGTTAGGATGATAAGGCTCTACGAGGTCTTTAAGATACGATGGAGCCTTGTCATTAAGGGCTTTGTATGTTAGGAGAAGGATTTTAAATTCTATTCTGAATTTTACAGGGAGCCAGTGGAGAGAAGCTAATATGGGAGAGATATGATCTCTCTTGCTAGTTCCTGTCAGTACTCTGGCTGCAGCCTTTTGGATTAACTGGAGGCTTTTTAGGGAATTATTGGGATATACTTATAGTAAAGAGTTACAGTAGTCCAGCCTGGAAGTAACAAATGCATGGCCCAGTTTTTCAGCATCACTTTGAGACAGGATGCTCCTGATTTTTGCAATATTGCGTAGGTGAAAGAAGGCAGATCTAGAGACTTAGCTTTTGTGTGATTTAAAGGACATATTCTGATCAAAGATGACTCCAAGGTTCCTCACAGTAGTACTGGAGGCAATAGCTATGTCATCTAAAGTAACTATATGATTAGACAGCAGATTTCTAAGGTTTTCAGGCCCAAGCACAATAACTTCGGTTTTGTCAGAGTTTAGAAGTAAGAAGTTGCAGGTCATCCAGGCCTTTATGTCTTTAAGACATGCTTGAAGTTTGACCAGCTGATCTGATTCATTTGGCTTCATAGATAAATATAACTGAGTATCATCTGCATAGCAATGGAAATTTATGTTGTGCTTCCTGATAATATTGCCTAAAGGGATCATGTATAAAGTGAAGAGAATTGGGCCTAACACAGAGCCCTGTGGAACGCCGTGACTAACTTCAGTTTGTGTGGAACATTCGTCATTAACATGAACAAATTGAAATCTTTCTGATAAATAAGATTTGAACCAACTTAGCACAGTTCCTTTAATCCCAATAACATGTTCATGTCTCTGCAGCAAGATGCTGTGATCAATGGTGTCAAAAGCAGCACTGAGATCTAAGAGGACAAGTATGGAGACAAGTCCTTCCCTCCTCTAAACAGAGACCGACAGGGAGAAAATACAGTGGAAAAACAAAGCAGAACACTTGGCGTCACACCTGGAGGCTACGCTTGGTGATAGTCAAGGGAAGTATGGGGTCTACTGCTCGTTAGGTTCTGATAGTGGAAACGCAGCATGAGTGTCCTTACAAAGCGAGACAAGTATGTGTGTGTTGAGCGTAGATAGACAGGCCATTTAGCAGGAGGCTGAGTGTTACACGGCTGAATATTCCATTCCAAATTTTTCATTAGCAGCTTAGTGGGCATGTGAGTGCTGAACGATGCAGGCGAGGGAGAAGGAGAGGCAAATGGAAAGAGAGCAGTGGGAATTGAATTGTGAAAAAGGGATAGGAAAGTGTGTGGGGAGAAGGAAGGCATGTGATCCTCGGGTGGGAGATGGGAAGAAAAAACACAAAGTGGGAAACAGAGTGCTTGGATCTATAAGAGCAGCCCTTAGATACAGTATACTCTTTACCTATTGGTTTTCAGGTATAATTTGACATTTTAGGAAGTATGCTTTTTCACTATGTTGCCAAGAGTTAGGTAGAGTTAGTTATATACAAGGCTACACACAGCAGTTACTTAGTTAGCAGGGTTAAGATAGGAACACACATTATACAACTGTTAAGCCAATTAACATATGGATATAATGACTGTAATTTGCACAAGAACACTAATTCAAACATGGTGGATCAGGTCTGGTCCAGTCCAGGTTAGTTGGTGCTGACAGTTGGCAGATCAAATCATGTAGTGTGTGATGTGTAAGGATGCCAAGTCCTCAGATTCAGTCACTATCAGCTATTGTCTTAAAGGTTTTGTCAACATCTGATAATTGCGACTGACAGCAGCGACAGATGATGCCACGTGTGTCTCCCTAGAGGGAGACATATTGGTACATAAATAGTTTTCTTTTACAGAATTCACTTAACTGTCTGCATGGCCCATGTCTGTTTCTGTAAACTCTCACCTAAACTCTGCTTTTTCTCCTGTGTTTTGGCCTTTACAGCACACGTGCGACTGCGGAGAAGCTGTGCAAGCTGCTGATTCTCATCCATGTTTGTTTTGGTAGAAGAGCATGCAGTAATACTGGTTTCTGTAGAGTTCAGCCAGTCCTCAGGTTTGTCCCAAACTTTAGCGTAACACCAAATCTAGATATGGGGAAACAGGTGGCCTGGATCTGTTGAAAGGTCCCCAAATCTGCCTATCAGCACCTTGAAAGATCACAAATGTATATAAACATTGTAGATGTTGGATTAGAATATATTTCCAAAACTGTTTTAACTATTCCTTTAAGCTTTCGTTTTCATCATAGAATTCAGAGGGAAAAGTCCGTTTAGGATTTTTTATCATGAAAAGCAAGTGGCCTTAGATGTTCTGATGTAGTAGACTTATTTACTGCATCTAGGTCTCTGTTTTAAAAAATATAGATTGACCCAGGCTTGGATAGATGAGAAAAGAGGGAGAGTTTCCCAGGCAGGCAGTGAAAAGATGGTACAAAGGTTTAGAGAGGTCAGTTGGTCCGTCACTGTGGCCCAGTTCCTCACATGAAACCCCTTGTTCCTTGTTTCTGAGAAATGTGCTAATCCCCATGGGCCCAGTCTGGGTCTTAGCCAGACTTTGAAGACAAAGAGAAAAAAAAATCAGCTTCTGTTCTTCAAACAAGCTTTGTAGTCCAGATTTCTCTCTGAGCTTGTATTTACCAGAATGGTTATGATCCATTGTACAATGGCTGCTGCTATGACACAGTTTCCTCTGGAGACATTGTGTAGTAGAAGATACACACTAAGAGGCCTTTTCAGATGTGTGGTCTTTGAACTCCTCAGTATTATGCTGTTTGCATTCAGTATTTTTATTGGACATGCAGTGTGATAAATAGAAGAGAGGAAAGATGCAACCCCGTGTGGGCCTCCAGATGAGCCACCTGATACCAAAGGCTGTGTGTGTCAAGCTGAGGGATTTGGAAAAAGAGCAGGGGATGTAGGCAATTAGATGATAAAGCTATACCTTACAGAAAACCCCCCTCCACCAGTCAGTAAATAGCATCAAGGGAGAAGAGGCCAGTGACTTTAAGGGCTCTGTAGCCCTACAGTCTCTAATTGAATCCGTCTGATATCAGTTGAGTGTTTCATTGCTTTACCTTTCTGCAGAGATGGGCAAGTGTTTTAATGCTTTACTGTATGTCCCAGAACTTTGGAGGTAGCTACTTTGCCAGAAACACAACAGAGGAGCAACTGGTGCATCTATTTACAGTGCAGGTATTTAAGAAGTTTGTTCTCTTTTTTGTTTGCCCCCCCCCACCCCACCATGAAAGTAACCCTGGTGATTTCACAAGTAGTTTTCCACACAGCAGCAGCAGAGCTCAGTAAAGATTTTTTTACTGAGGAGTCAGAGGTGTGACTTCAGCTCACGGTGGCTCCTTTTTAAATCCATTACAACTTGCCATTTTTAAAGGTGCATTAACTAAGATTTTAGACACTGATAAATCAAGTGAAAATGGGCAGGATGTGGTGTCTATCTGCTATATATGCTAAATTTATGCTGCACTACATGTGTCATTTCTTGTGAATCTCTCGTGTGGAGATGGCAATCTTCAGACCGTGAATATTATAGTATCAAAAGTGGGGGTTGATTTCATCATCTTAAGAATTCTAACTTTAAATGAATGGAGTTGATGGTATGGTACTGAGTTGCTTTTGCCACTTTCTTACTTTTTTCTCTCTCTCCTTCTCACTGTTCCTCTCAGATTTGCATCTTATTAGCACAGGCAGAAGATTTCAGTCAGAGCAAGTGGAGGAAGGATGGTGACTGTGGAAACCCCAGAGGCTCCTGTGCCTTTGACGGCGCTGTCACGCTGGTACCTCTATGCCATCCATGGCTACTTCTGTGAGGTCATGTTTACAGCCGCCTGGGAGTTTGTGGTGAATTGCAACTGGAAATTTCCAGGTGTGACCAGCGTGTGGGCACTTTTCATTTATGGCACCTGCATTCTCATTGTAGAGCAGATGTACCTGAAGCTGCGTGGCAGCTGCCCTGTGCTGCTGCGCTGCATCATCTACACTTTATGGACATACCTGTGGGAGTTTGGCACGGGGCTACTACTGCGCCAGTTCAATGCCTGCCCCTGGGACTACTCTGAGTTCCGCTACAACTTCATGGGACTGATCACAGCTGAGTATGCAGTGCCCTGGTTCTGTGCTTCCTTTATAGTGGAGCGCCTGGTCATCCGCAAAACACTGCGGCTGCGCTTCCATGAAGGACCTGAGGATGGTTGGTCAAACCACCGGTTAGATACCGGGGGTGGAGGAGGGGCAGGAGCAACTCTGGGGGGCGGAGGGAGGAGAGACAGGAGCAGAGGGATGGGAAATGATGCTAATGGATTCCTTAAGGGGGAATGAATGAAGGAATAAAAGGAGGGACAATCTGAAACCAGTCCAATTGCTGCTACACCTCTTCAGCCACTTTCATGAGCAGTCCTCCCCATCACCTGTGTGGGTGAAGACAAACAGACAGCTGTGTGACTACACTGGTGTGGAGAGGTACACAAAACATAAGAACATCCAGAAATCAAAACCTAACTCAGGCTTCAAATGCCTGAATCACTCACCTACTGTCAACAGAGGGGCACGATAAGTCCATGCTGCTGTGTTTGCTGCATCTCATAGTGCACCCACCCATTACCATATGGGGTAGACTTTAAGGACATCAGGGTTGTGAATGACCAGGATTTCACTTTCAATCTATTGTTTCGCAGACTGCAAAGAACTTGGGATAAAAAAAGAGAAAAAACTACTGTTGCTGTTGCAAAGGTATGTTATCATGAGGAAGAACAAGTTCATGAACAAGGACAGCAACAGGCTATCTGAGAGCAGAGTGCTCACTGCATATAAAACGTGATAAAAAGTAGCTGCAGTTGTAACATGTCCTTTTTAAAATGTACATATTGTCCTTCAGTATTATTCAAAGTACTGTAGTAATGTAGCTACAAAAGTCTGTTTAAGAACATCATGTCTGCCCTGAAGCAGTGTGTTGGCTTACATCATAGATAATGCTTTTCTGCAGATTACCTACAATGCCCGGAAAAAATGCATGAAAAAAGTTGTCTTCCAATATGCCTTTCTGCAGAACTCATTCAGCAGTCATATTGTACATCGCCCGAGTCAATCTGCTGCTTGTGTGTGTGGGACAACAGGAGATCAGGAGGTAGAGCACATCAGCCAGTTATCATGGTCGATTCTCTCCTGACAGCATGTCAAAGTGTCCTTGAGCAAGACACTGAACCCCGAACTGCTCCTGGTGAGCAGGTCACGGCCTTGCATGGCAGCTTCTTCGCCACCAGTGTACGAGTGTGTGCGCATGTGGGTTTGCAGGCTATTATAAAAAGGCATTGTAAGGCTCATGCAGTCCATTTACCATAATAACAAGGACACCTTTCAGTTGATGGCAGTGATTAAATCATAAAGCGTAAAGCCCCCAAACCTCTTGGTAATTTACTTTTTACAGTTTTTCAGGAAGCCTTCTAATGACTTGCTCTGTGTGCTTCAGATGTGCCAGGGTCACTGAGCCTATTTTCTTTTCATTCTCAATTCTCATTCATGGGAAACCTATAGTCATTCCTGTCAAATCACACAACTTACCTGTGACTTTTTTTTATTGTCACTGGCTGTGAAAAGAAAACTCACAGTCAGAATTTCTTGTTATTTTGTAAGTGTGACAGCAATAGTTGCATTTGATCAACAACTGACAGGGACCCGAAATAGTGTACGAGTGACAAATTTGGGTTTTTTGACTTGAATACATTTTATCAGAATTCACTGCTTGGTTCTTTCTTACTGTACATGCATGATTGGTGAAGCCACAGTGGATTTGGTTTCCTTGGTGAATAATGACCTCATTGTGTTTTTACGTACTGGACTTTGACTGACTTCTAAGATAAGCTTCGGAGTTGTTTAAAAATGTTGTAGCATTATTTATAGTGCGCCATTTAGTGGAATTTTCTAACCATATAATAACTCAAATTGGTATGAAATGATCAAGCCAAGCTCAGTTAATCAGACATTGTAACAGTTGAGCTAACTGTAACTGGATTTTTGAATAGTTTTAATGTCATGGTACCAATGTGCTACTGCTACATGGTGACATTCAGACATTTGGTACTTCAAAAAGGTGAAAATGTATGTGGAGTAGTACTTATTTCCTCTGGTGGTGTTGCTCTTCATGAGGATCCTGTGTACTCTGGAAGATCAGGGATTGTACTGTCATCTCCATGCAAACCGGAGCTTACACTAATGTTTTGCCTATAGAACAGGTTGGACACATCCCTTTTTACAGCGATGTTGCAGAGTGCATGAGATGGAAATGTTTGCTGAAAAGTATTTCTCAGGATGACAATTTATGTTGTTGACTCAGTCACAACATTTGTGCAGTTGTAAACTCAGTTTTTCACCATTTTAACTGTCAGTAATAAAAAGATCCAAATCCATGTTTCCAGTGATAGCATGGGACTAAAACGGTGTGACTTTCATCATTGTGCCTGCAGTGAAAAACAGCGTTCCCCCATCTTTCTCCCTGGAAGTCCACAGGGTGGATGGCAGAAGAACATTAAAGATGCAGTGCTGCCACCCAGTGGAAGATTGGGAAAGTAACTGGAAAACAGTTGAGCCTGGACAAGAAATAAGAGGCGCATACAAACAAACACACGTTTAAAGAATCCTTATTAGGATGAAGAAAAAAATGTTTTGTGGGGGTTTTTGTATACATGTTTTTTCATATATAAACAACAGGCTTAAAAGCAATAGATGCTTCTAACCCACCAGTGAACATTCAGCTCAAGGCCATTAATCCTTTCTTTTAAAAAATCTACTAAACCACATTATGATAACTAGTATGCAGCTATATCTTTATTGAATTCTACTGCATTGATGAGACAAGTCATAAGAACAATGAAATGAAGTGTATTTGTTCTCTGCAATATGTGAGTAGAGGAGTGTCATGTGAGTGTATACAGTGTGCTTTGCAGAGACACATTCTTTGTATGTGTATGTGCATGTACAACATGTTAAAACTAAATCTCTGGTATTTTTACCTTGAAGCTGCATGTCCAAAAGTTTTCAATTTATCTTAAAAACTTTTATCCATGTACTCCAATGGTTTATTTTTTAAATAAACTGTACAGGTTTTTAGTGAAATGACTGCACTGTATATCATAGACTTTGATTATGTTCATGTATGATTTATCAAACTTTTGGATTAAATATATTTATTTGATCATAAATCAGATGTGTTTTGTAGCTCTTCTGACAAACCATACACTCCTGCATAGACAGACTGAACAGTGAAGTAGTGTTACAACAGCCTCTTTGCTGAATATAACCTACACTGCAATGACAGTAATATACCATAGTACATTAGTGCCAATTAGGTGGATGCAGAACTGTGCATGTCATGGATGTTAAAAATGAACTGTACACTTAATTGCCTATATCTATAATATACCGCCCTGAGTACCTTAAGTCTCTGGATGTTGTTGGGCTGTCTTGGTTGACAGGCCTCTGCAACGTCGCATGGTGGTCGTGGACAGTGCCTCTGGACTGGCAGACCGGGGTGGTGGTCCCTCTTTTTAAGAAGGGGGACCGGAGGGTGTGTTCCAACTATAGGGGGATCGCACTCCTCAGCCTCCCCGGGAAAGTCTATGCCAGGGTACTGGAGAGGAGAATTCGACCGATAGTCGAACCTCGGATTCAGGAGGAACAATGCGGTTTTCGTCCTGGCCGTGGAACACTGGACCAGCTCTATACCCTCTTCAGGGTGGCGGAAGGTTCATGGGAGTTTGCCCAACCAGTCCACATGTG